GAGAAGAGAAGGCTAAAGGGGGTTTTGAAGTTAAGAACCCGGGAGGGCATACGATTGATAGAAAAGGTAGTAGTAAGAACAACATCTTCCCAAAATTTTATAGGAACATGGGATGTAAACAAGACTGGCAACTTCAACCACATGTCTGTTCTTCCTTTCTGCCACTCCGTTCTGTTTTGGAGTGTAGGAACAAGAACTTTGAAGAATAACCCCAAAAGTTTCAAGATAGGCGGAGAGGGTTTTCTCAAAATATTCCTTAGCATTATCAGAACGGAATATTTTGATCCGAGTATTAAATTGGGTAATGATGAGTTCATGAAGTTTTTGCACAATAGTTGGTATTTCATCCCTGGATTTAATGAGATAAATCCAAGTGTAACGAGAGTAGTCATCAATAAGAAGGATAAAGTACCTGTAACCCCCCATAGTTAGCAAATGATATGGCCCCCACACGTTAGAGTGAACAATATGAAAAGGAGAAAAAGATTTTTTATTGCTTACTAAATAAGAATGTCTACAATGCTTTGCTAGTTCACATGACTCACAATGAAGATTCGATAAAGACACTCCCTTAGACATATCTGGAAACAAATTACTCAAAGCACAAAAAGACAAATGACCAAACCGAAAGTGACATAACAAGACTTTGTCAATAGACTCTAAAAAAACCGACTTTAAGGCAACTCCATGAGGTGGTCCAAAAGCTCTATCCGGTGTGTCCAACAAGTATATTGCGTTCGCCTCATGGTTATTCCCAATCATCCTCTGAAATTGCAGGTCCTAAAAAATACAATGAGTGGGAAAAAAGGTTATGCTACAATTCATGGATTTAGTTAAGCTGCTAACAGATAAAATGTTTGTATTAAGTTAAGGGACGTAAAGGACAGAGGATAAATAGAGGGTGTTAGAGGTCTTTATTTCCCCTTTACCAGAGATGGGAGCAAGAGACCCATTAGTAAGGGATATTTTCTCTTTACTAGAGAGAAGGTGGTATGAGCAGAAAAGATTAGACAGGCTAGTCATATGGTCTGATGCACCAGAATCAATAATCCAATGAATTTTATGATTACCTCAAAATGAAGCACAAATACTTGAGTGAGCAAATGCAGATGAAGATGATGTGTTGCTGGAAGAGTGAGATGAAGAAACGGTAGCTTCCAAGTGATTTAGGAGCCTTCCATACTTTTCAAAATATGCCTTCATTGCTGCCAACTGCTCAATGGTTGATTTTTCTTCACTCTCCTTATTTCCTCCTTCAAGTACTGTAGCAAAATTAGCTATCTTAGGCTTTCCTACCTGACTGCCCTTCTTAGAGCTATTGTTATTCTTGAACCTATTAGGAAGAAGCTCAAGATGAAACTTCTAGCAAGTGTCCTTTGTATGCCTCGGTTTCTTGCAATATTCACATATCTGCTCCTTTTTCTTAGTAGGACCCTTTGGCTTTATTCCAGCATGCGCAAAGTATTCTGTAGGTGGACTGTACAACTGAATCTGTCACCTACTCTCCTTACTGCTTATCATAGCGTATGCTTGGGAAAGATTAACCTCATCTTTGGCCAAGATATTTTGCCTAATGATGTCAGACTTAGGGTTGAGTTCAGTGAGAAATTCAAACACCATATTTCTCTCCACCAACTTCCTATACATTTCAGCACCATTCTTACTCTCCCATACAACTGTCTCCATAACATCAATTTCTTGCCATAGGGATTTCAGTATAGAGTAGTAGATTGCTACAGTCTTCTCCCCTTGTCTTAGGTTCTTCATGTCACTTTTCAACTTGTAGACTTTGGCTACATTCTACTTCTATGAATAGGTATCAATAACACTGTCCCATATCTCCTTAGCCGAAGACATCCAGAGATAATGCTGACTTATATGAGGTTGCATAGAGTTGACCAACCATCCAATGACAGTATAGTTCTCTTGCATCTATTTCTCAAATTCAGGGTATGTCTCTTCGGGTTTCACTTTACTACCTGTGAGATACCCGAGTTTTCCTCTACTATAGACAAATTCTTATAGACTGTGCCAAGCAAGATAATTTGTCTCATCTAGCTTGATTGTGGTCACACCAGTCAAAACATAATCTACCGAGACAAGGCCAAAAATCGGCACTTGCTTGAACTCACTTCCATATGGCTCCATTAATCAAACAAAAATCAAAGAACTAGAAATTTGGTCTATATAAACTTATTTGAAGTCAAACCAAAACCCAGATGCTTGAAAACTAGGATTTTACTCCGTCCAACTGTTGGGGAGGAAGAGAGAAGATGTAGCCGCTCCTACCAGAGCTTCCCAATCTCTTCCAAATCTGAACCACCCTCCTTTAGGAGTCAAAAGACACCTCCCAAGCACAGAGCGCCACACCCAAAGCTTCACCTTTACCTGTCCCTTCAAAAATCTCTAGTCGGCTAGGGTTATGGGCAGCAACAGGATAGCACCACTTCTTGGCAATATCCAGCCAGATTTAAACTCTCCAAACCCTCTACCAAGTAGGCCAGAGATCCTCTGAGCTATAGAGAACTTATCTTTCACACTCTCTTAATCAAAGGGTGTATGGGAAAAGAGGAAGAAGAAAAAAGTAAGAAAGAGGCCTGCTCTGATACCAAGATGTAAATCAGTCCTAAAACATTAGGTATAAATTTGAAAATTAGAGAGAAAAAGGAAGAAAAAAGTAAGAGCAGCAGTACAAGAGAAGAAGATGGCGAAAAGAGGAGGAAGAAGAAGAAATGTTCAAGTTATTCTTCCCTTTCTTATCTTATCCTTTTTATTAAGAATTATGTTAAAGTAATTACAAGTATGCCCTTAAGTAGGCGGCCAGCTAGGTAGTAAGATAAAGAGATCAAACAAAAAAGAAATAACAAGCCCTCTAAGAGAGGCCCATTAGCTAACAAGAAAAAGAAAAGATATTACAAGAGAAGATACTAGGACCCATTCGGCCCAGTCTCTTTACAGCTTTTTTAGTACTGCTCATATTTGACAGGATACTGGAATTTCAAATAGCTTTCCTACTCATAATTGCCAACAAAACTATATTTAGAGGCTAATGCAGTATGCACTTCATCCTTGCTACACTGTTATCATCTGTATTGTCAAATTGATCAGATTCCATATTTAAGGTTAACACCATGTGTTATATTAGAAGGGCTATAAATCAGGTTTCACATGGTTGAACCAGGTTTGGTGGATGGCCCAACCGGGTTTGTGTAATTTTTTGCTTTTTATATCTTAAATTATATTTAAATATGATTACTTTCAATGTCTGCTTAAAAATTTAATTATACTACTTGAAATTTGAAATATAATTAATAGTTTTAAAAAATGTTAATTAATGAATTAATATTAATACTGTAAAATACAGTATTTTAATAAACACTATTAATTAATAAATACTGCAATTAATGAAAATATTGTAAATATGGTTAATTATTAATATTTTAATTATTAAAAATAATGTTAATAAAAATACATTATTTTTAATAAATAATATTGTAATTATAAAAAATTACTATATTATTTAAAAATATTGTTAATTAATAAATTTAGTATTTTAATAAATACTTTTGATTATTTAATAATACTAAATTATTAAAAATACATTATTAATTAAAAGTATGGTTAATTATTTTAATTAATGAAATACTTTAATTATTTAATAAATACATTATATTAATTAAAAAAATACATTATTTAATACTATTTTGAATAAATACTGATAATTAATTAAAAATACTATTAATGAATAAATACATTATTTTTAAAAGATATGGTTAATACTGTTAATTAATAAAAATGCTATTAATTATTAGAAATCTTTTAATTATTATTAATATTGTAAATTTTAAAATACAAAAATTATTATTATTACTCCATCTCTCTCTCTCTCTCCCCCCCCTTAAATGTCTTTTTTAAATGTAATAATAGCTTGCATTAAAATAAGAGGCCTTGAAAAGCCCAAAGGTCTCTCTCTGTAATAGGGTGCAGATTTATTAATCTAATCAAGATAAGAAATGATTATTTTTTTTATAATTTTAAAACTAATGAAAATAGGAAAATTGCAAAAAATGGAGAAAATAGATAAATAGCTTCTCCCAAAAGAAGAGATATGCTGACATCGACCATTCAATTATATATATATATCATTTTCTACATGGCGCTAGATTTTACCATTGCAACAATCCCTTTTCTAAATACTAAACCAACTATAATAAAAATTTAAGTCACAAAACAAAAAGCTCGATTTTTTCTATGAGTGGCATATATGGTTCAATCACCATGTGTGGATTTTTTTTTTCAATCTCATTGGAAGTGAATGACATACTTCATGTCCTTTGGATCCTTTATGGGCATGACTAGTATTCACCATGTGGTTGTTTAATCCCATACTCCCATTTGACCCTCCCCTTGATACAGGATTTCTCTAATTGATTATCACGGATGCCTCTATACATGTTAAAAATAGTCTTAGGCCTTGTTCACTTTTCGGTAAGTTATTTATCTAGGTAAATACACTTACCCGGGTAAGTGTTTCACAGGAATGACTTATCCGGGTAAGTTCATTTACCCATATTCTTTTATTTCGCATTTAAATAAGGCAATGGCCATTTTAGCCATAAAAATCAATTATTAAAAGGGGCATTTTTGTCCCATTCAAGTATTGGCAACTTTCCCCATAGGTGGGAAAGTTATTTACCCACTTAGGAGATGAATATCATCACTTACTCAAGTAAATGATATCGAGAAAAAAAACCCTCTCTGATCCCCACATAAATCTAAAACAAGAACATGGGTTTCTTGGTCAATGAAAATCAAAATCCCATTGACCAACTTCCCCTCTCTCAAAATTCGAAAAAAGAGCAACCCTTAATAATATTTAATTTATTTAGAATATCTATGTTCTCTCTTAGAAATAAGTCATGGGCACTTATGTTTGCCTGTTCTTTTCCCGTAAGTCAGGATACTGATGTTCCTTGGTTGTTTTCTTTTCAGTCTCTGCTTTACATGTAATGTATACTAGCTTAAATTCTCCGTCAAAGCTGACTAATTGGAAATCTAGTGGAGGTGATCCTTGTGGCGACTCCTGGAAAGGAATCAAGTGCTCAGGCTCACATGTGAAAGAAATGTAGTGATCTTTACTTAAAGAGTATACTAAGCTGTAATATTACTTCTCAATATCATTGTTACTGAACCTTTTATCTGTTAATTTGTGCAGAAAGTTATCTGGTCTTGGATTGACTGGATCATTAGGCTACAAACTCTCAAGTTTGACATCACTTACCTACTTGTGAGACCTAACTTTTCTAAATAAGCATGCTTATGACTGTAATTTTTCTGCTGAAAGGATTTCAACTAAAGCAAGTGGTCTTTTTTTTTTTTGTCGTAGTACAGTGATTTGAGCAACAACAACCTCAAGGATAGCATACCATATCAGCTTCCACCTAATGTCCTTCACATGTAAGCAATCAACTTTGATCTCATTTACAATTAAAGAAAAAAGGTTTCCTGGTTGATTATAATCTGCCTTAAAGTGGCCATAAAATGCATACCTACACATGTAGGAGAATGGGATTCATCAATTGATGACTTCTGTAACAGATTTCTTAGGAAAAAAATTGAATTTGAACTGATTGATGAGACTGACAACCAGTTTTTTTTTTTTTTTTTTACTTTGTTTAATCTGTATACATACATATTGCTTTTGTCTATCTGGGAGCATGTAAGAAGTCGAATTATTACAATCATCAGAACCATTCAACTTCTGAATTTTTTTTTACCACAAAGCATTGGTAGAGAATCTTAATGTTCTAAACTCACATAATAGCCACCTTATGTTCATTCATATGATATAAATTAGATAAATAACCAAGGATTGAAAAGATAATAGGAACCGATAGCTTGAAGTGTTGGTCCAGATTTTTATTTATACACATTGAGTTTGAATTACGCTGAAACTCTTTGTTGTTTGGATTACAAATGACTTACATGGATAAGATAACACACAACTCAACAAGATAAGAGAAAATCTTTTGATGGACTCCAGTAGATCATCATTTGATAGACTCCAACAGATCATTGAGTCTCACGTACACATGTTCACTAACATGCCTCCTTCAAACAAATGGTCTTCCAAAACATGAAGCTTGAACTTGGACCTCTGAAAGTGTGAATCACCTAATGGTTTAGTAAGAACATCAGCTATTTGATCACCAAAAGATATAAATTGTACTTGAATTCTCTTGTTGAGTACCTGATCTCTTAGAAAATGAAAATCGACATCTACATGTCGTGTTCTGGCATGAAAGATAAGATTGGAGTTCAAAAAAGTTGCACCAATCTTGTCACACCAAATTACCGGTGGTTGTGGTAATTGGATTCCAAGATCATCAAGTAGAGCCCTTAGACATAGAACTTCAGTGGCTGTGTTCGCACATGCTCAAAACTCAGATTCAGTACCCTTCAGTGGACCTTTTCTCATCTTGACACCCAACCCAGTCAGCATCTGAAAAAGCTTACAAGGAGAGTGGGCCTAGTGTAGAGGCAAAGAAGAACACATGATCAATAGTGCCTTTCAAATAGCACAAAATGTGCTTGCAGCCTAGTGTTCCGTGGACGGAGAATGAAGAACTTGACATACTCGGTTGACTGAAAATGCTATGTCGGGCCTAGTAATGGTCACATATTGTAGAGTTCCTACAATGCTCCGATACTCAATGGGATCCGTGAGAGACGTGACATCTACCTTTGAGAATTTGCAGTCTACAGCCATTGGAGAAGAAATGGGCTTGGCATGAAGCATGTGGGCCCTTTGTAATAGATTCAGAACATAGTTTCTTTGGGACGAAAGCAGCCCAATTTTTTGTTGAACGAATTCCATGCCCATAAAGTAACCGGCTGGTCCCAAATCCTTCAGTGAAAAGATTGAAGCACGAGTGGAGATAATTTTGTTCACTGCTTGAGACATATTTCCAATAATGAGTATGTAATCAACATATATGAGCATGTAAATTCTTACCTTTCCCTTAGAGTAAACAAATAAAGATGGGTTTGATTTGGAGCCTTGAAACCCAATGGTGAGTAAATGAGAAGTAAGGTGAGCATACCAGACCCGTGGTGCTTGCCAAAGCCCATACAAAGCTTTGTCAAGTTTGTAGACATGGGAAGGGTATTGTGGGTGTTCAAATCCCTTGGGCTGCCAAACATAGATTTCTTCTTCAATGTACCCATTTAAAAAGGCATTATCAAAGTCTAATTGATAAACACACCATCGTTGAGATATGACAAGTGCAAGCAAGGTATAAATGGTTACTGGTTTTGCAACTAGCTGAAAGTGTCACAGTAATCTACTCCTGGAAGTTGAGAGACCTTGGGCCACTAAACAAGCCTTGTACCATTCTAATGACCCATCCACCTTTCTCTTTATTTTATAGACCCATTTTGTTCCTATAACATTCATATTGGGCTTTCTAGGGACGAAGGTCCATGTCTTATTCTTCATCAGGGCAGTATATTCTTTTGTCATTGTTTCTTGCCAATGAGGGTGCTTAGAGGCTTCCAAGAAAGTAGTGGGCTCAACAGAATTAGAATGCTTGAGTAATGAGAGTATTGGGTAATGGGTACCTGACTTCAGTGCTGGCTCGTGAGGGTAATGTACTATCCATAGATCGAGTCACCATGTGGTGTGAACAGTTTTGGCTTGGTAGTGGAGCTGGTTTGGTGGCATCTAACAGCTCCTGTACAAGTCATGTGCATCGAGGTGGTGTCTCAGTGACGCTGATGGGCTCAGGTGATGAAGGTTTTCAAGAGAGTTGCTGCTGTACTCAGAAGGCTGAAAGGTGGTGCTGCCAGCTTCATGAATCCCCTCATTAGTGTTGGAGCTTCCCAAACAATGATTATTGTTGTTGAGTATTGCACCAGAATTCTGCAACGATGGTGATGTTGGACCAATGGTGTCTATAGTAAGATTATTAGTTGTTTGTCCATGACTTGGGATATGTGAGAGACCTTGTATAAAGACACCACTATCTACATTGGAGGAAGAGACCAGATTATGATTGGGAATACTGGGAAAATTTGTTTCATCAAACACAACGTGTCTACAAAAATATTCACGTCCTGAGGGAGGATGATAGCATCTATAACCTTTATGTCAATCACTGCACCCTAGAAAAATGCATTTCATGGAACGATAATTGAACTTGTTGGTATTGTATGGTTGAAGAAACAAGTAGCAAGCACACCGAAAAATCTTTAGCATTTTATAATCTGGGAGTACCCCAAACAACTTCTCATACGGTGATTTTCCACCCAACACTGGACTCGGAAGCTTGTTAATCAAGAAAGTTGATGTGATAGCACCATTAGCCCAAAAACTAATGGGGAGAGAAGAGGTGGCCAATAGTGACAACTTGGACTTTATGATGTGTTAGTGCTTCCTTTCAACAGTGTCATTTTGCTCATGGGTATGAGGGAAAGCAAGTCTATGATTAATACCGTATTCGTTATATAGTTTTTCAAGTCTCCTATACTCTCCTCCCCAATCAGATTGAAAATTTTTTATCTTTGCATCAAACAAGACTTCAACATGTCTTTTGAAACTTACAAAGATGTCAAATACATCTAATTTATTGTGCATGGAAAAAGCCAAGAAAATCTACTAAAATTGTCAACAAACACTATAATATTTGAAACCATTTTGAGACTCAACTAGAGCCAGTCCCCAAACATCTAAAAAAACCGACTTTTAGACTCTGAACTAGACAAGGATAATGATAACTTGTGACTTTTTCCTAACTGACATGATTCACACACTACTTGATGCTTAAACGAACCAATGTAAGGTAAACCATATTTCCACGAGACTTGCCTCACCACCTGAAGAGCTAGATGTCCAAGCTATCGATGTCCAAGCTATAGGAGACTTGTTTAAAGTAATATTTAGAAAGCAATATAAGCCGTCTCTACTGGGTCCTTGTAGTAATATTCTCCCCGTGTAATCCTTTAAGAGAAAATAATTCTGGTGAAACTCAAAAAATAGATCATTATCCTTTGTGAATTTTCTAAGAGATAGTAAGTTCTTAGTAAGGGCAAGAACATAAAGCATGCCATCTAAATAAAACTAAGAATGAGAGGTAGATAGTGAAGAAGTTCCAACATGAGTGATTTGCAAACTTGACCCATTGCAAACTCTTACTTGACCATTTCCACCATACTTGATCGATTTTGGATACTATTAGCATCTAGAGTCATGTGGTGATTGGTGCCGGTATCAGGGTACCATGTGGGATAAAAAATAGATGACACCTCGCTTTAGAATGCTGAAGGATCATACTCATCATTGTTGTAAGAATAATGAAATCTGCATATGCACTTGGCTACAACGTGATCGGGTTTGTTGCATAGTTGAAAAATTACATTAGAGTTTCCACGTCCACAACCCACCATTTTTGTAAAAGCGGGCATCCAGATTGAACCTCTTTTTTTCCCGTGGCCATGTCTAGAATTGTTGTTTTTTGGGGCATAATCTTAGTTTTATTGAGATCCCTACCCTTTAACTTTGAAATTTGCTACATTGGCTAATGGTTAAGTTGTATCTGTGGTATTATTAATACCATATTGCTCAAGAATAGCTTCATGGCTCAATACGATTCCGAGTACATGATCCATGTCCAATTCAATCTAGGCAGCAGGTTAAGGAGCAAGTGAACACATAAGCTTAATGGACCTAAAGCCCAATTTAAACTAGGCTTAAGTTAGTTATTTAAAAAGAGACAAGATCTGATTTATAATCTGATTAGAATTAGTTGAAAGGATAAGATATGTCTTATCCATTTAAGAGTCCAGACCCAAATATCAGATTTGGATTCAAAAACTCTCTCCTAATTAGATTAGGAGGCTGATCCAAAGAAGACTATAAATACGAGGTGAATTCCTCAGTTTTAACACAACAAACAACAATTTTCAGAGTTTTTCCCTGTTCTTGCTGCCCCTACCCAATTCGATCTCCACTTGTGGAAGTGATCAAGAATTTTTCTTGATATTGCTTCTTGGTAGAAGAAACAATCTGAAATCGTGCTCACCAGCCCTTGTTCGATTCTTGATGTAGAGCCATCCTACTGATCCTACTTCAATACGCACTGTGTCATCTTCAGTGGAAGCGGGTTTTGGTTTCCTCTTTGGGCGTGAACACCTTCACTGGGAGTTACTATTACTTCGTATTAGGTATATCCCTCACTTCCCAATGGTTTCAGATCTGGTCCGGTTTTGGATTCAAGATTGATCCTTAAAAATGTAGTTTTCTAAAATAGGAAATGTAATTCCTAGATGGGAGAGAGATAAAATTTTTAAATTTCGCCCAACCTTCCTGTAGGGTTCAGCCATCCATATGATGAATCTCTCATCCCTTCACCATAATGCTCTCTGTTAAGGACGATATAATCCAATTAAGAACTAGTTGATCTAACTGAAACCAACTCTCATATGTAGGATTTGTTACCCTCTTCATTCGATCATTGGGATCAACAACTTCCTAGACGGTGCTGGGATGGACTTATCGACGTTACCCATTAATTTGTGGGTATAGAGAATGGGAAGCAATTGAGCCTTCCAAAGCTGATAATTTCCGCTGGTCAATTTCATAGTATGAGAAGTTGCGGCAGTTTATTAGAGCTGTCAATTATCTAGGCGGGTTTGATGCAAGGGCAGAACTATTGGTTGACGGCATGAGAGTGGTGGCTCTAATACCAAGATAAATAACCAAGGATTGAAAAGATAATAGGAACCATCTTGAGGTGTCGGTCCTAATTTTTATTTATACACATTGAGTTTGAATTGCACTGAAACACTTTGTTGTTTGGATTACATTAAATGCCTTATATGGATAAGATAACACACAACTCAACAAGATAAGATAAGATCTTTCGATGGACTCCAGTAGGTCATCATCTGATAGACTCCAGCAGATCATGGAGTCTCATGTACACATGTTCTCTAACAAAATTGTTTAGGCTCAATTTGGAAGGAGCACAAATGCAAATTTAAAGAGTGTAAAACCTTGTATTTTGTATTATTTTGGATGTATTTGTACTCTACAAATTTGCATTTATACTCCTTCCAAGCCTTAGAAGAAATTGTCATATGCTTATTATTGGTTAGAGTCAGTGTTGTTTTATGGACTCTCCTAAATGGACGAAATGTCCATGTCAGATAAACATGGGAATCATTGTCATTTGATATTTTTTTCTCCTTTCTTATTCGAAATAAATGAACAGTGAATGTACACAATTGATATCATTTTCCTATGGAATATTATAATCTTTTAGACCTTCTTTAGTCTTATAATGTTGAAATTCAATAGCTATGGACACCTTTTAGTTGATTATACTTTTCTATGTTGGATTCCGATTCCTCTGTCCATTTCCTTATGACACTAGTCAAGATGTTATATTCAACTTGTTATTGTTAAGACAATTATCTGCATTGAGTTACGAAGGTTCCAGATACCTTTCTGATTGTAGTAAAGACTTGGGACCAGTCCCACCTTCACTAGGGTATGGGGAAGGCTACCCCCATATAAATGTAGCCCATTTACCCTAACAAAAACATATTTATACTGAATTGAGCATCTCTCTATCAACTTATGTAATCAGCTAATGCAATCTTTTATAATCCAAAATCTGTCAGACCTGCAGGAAAAATGGAATGTTAATGATCCAACAAATCCATTAGTAATTCTATGAGCTTGTGTAGAAATCTTGCAGGGAATAGCTTTACAGGAACGGTGCCTTACTCAATTTCTCAAATGTTGAACCTCAAATATCTGTAAGTGGTAATTTTTTTCTCTTATAAATTCTTTTATGTACTTTACTATAGAAACTCTCTTTATCAGATACCTTTTTTTTTTGAATACAGAAATCTCGGTCACAATCAGCTTAGTGGCCAACTGAGCGATATGTTTGGACATCTTACTAGACTACAATTTCTGTATGTGCTGCTTTAATTCAGTTCACTTGACTATATTATTTTTAATTTGTTCTATCTTGAATAAACATTTTCTTGATCATGAAGCAGAGCCTAGAGCTTCCATTTTGTAATAAAAGTAAAACATTATTAAACATAGAAACATGAGGAATTAATATTAGGGGTGTATAGTTATGGATGATAGTGGCGTAGAGTTTGGTTATTGGTGATTGAACAAGGCAGAACAGAAGTAGGGATCAAAGGTGAAGACAACATTGGTTATGATTGTGTTGGCATTTTTGAAAAGAATTGTAACATTCCAGATGACAAGGTGAAGAAACTGGGTTTAAACAATCTGCAGCTTGGTTTCCTTCTATAAAAATGTGTGATGTAAGATGTGGCCATTTTCCTAATTGATGATCAATCCAATGTCTTTGACAACAGTTATAATGGTCCAAGGTGGAACCAACCTATTTGAGGTTGATCCATTGACATAGTGGCATTGAAACATTTGCAAGTATAAGGCTGGTGAAGAGCGATGTTTGGCTTCTCAGAAACTGGTGCAGCATCGATTCGTATAACTCTAGCAGGTACCAGAGATTGTGTCACCGGATCTGGGGTGAGAGATAGGGAGTTCTGGCTTAAAATATGCTTGCTTGGAAAACTCAAAGGGGAGCACATTCAGACGTCAAAGTTGCTATCTCAGGTTGCTTCGGTGTGGAACTGCAGGATTGAACTGAAAGTAAGGCTTGTGTCGGGTGGCTAGTTCCTAATCACTTTGGATTCGGAGTTAAAGTGTTGAGGATAGCAGAAGGAAGCCCTCATAGAATTGGAGGTAGGGCCTTATCTCTATTTCGATGGGCACTAGGTCTAGAGAGAATTTGCAGAGGCAAAGAATCTTAGCGGTGGAGAGAAAAAATCTTCAACTTACCATTCTTGGGGAAACAAACCCCTTTAAACTTCCATGTGCAAATTAAAGAGATTAACAAGCAAATAGAAAGCAACAATATATAGAAGAATTTTAACAAATACAATGCAAGTAGTGACAAAGACACCAAGATTTATGTAGAAAACCTCCCAATGGGAGGGTAAAAATCATGAAACTGAATTCCATAATTTCCACTATCAACCAAATAGTATGGTACACAAGTTCTATCTAGTTGCAACTAGATGAATACATTAAGAGAGAAACTCTTGGTTTCCAACAACAACAAGCATCATCTATATAGATGGAATAATCAATAAGAAAGATCTCACCAACAAGAAAGCAAAAGAGAAGGAGCCAAGAAATGTTGTAGGATTCCTTCTTTCTTTTACAATCCTTGTATTTTCTTCTTGTCCCTTTCTCAAAACCCTTCTGTACCAAACCTTGTTCTTCCTCCAAAATCCCTTGGAAAGCAAAAAAGGTAGAAAGCTGAACTTAATTCGTTGAGACCCAAAAGGCATATTGGCTTGTAAGACAAGCCAAATACAAAAGTCACTTTTTTTCTTTGATTTACTTCTTTTTGTCTTTTTGCACTCATCTTCTTTTTGTCTTTATTGATTTGGGGGTCCCACCTCATGAGGAGGGCCCCAAAAAATCTCCCACTCTGATTCATGAGGATGTCTTCTTCATGATCAAGCCTACCAAGCCTCTACAAAAGTCAAAGTTGTTTTTGGCAGGTTTGATGTTCATGTGGAGGCCTTCTTCATGATGTTCTTCATGATCAAACCCACTAACCCGTTATATCTTAACCATTTATTTCAGTATGAATCTTCGCTAGTTGCAATTGTTTCTCTTCAAGAACATCTATAATTCAATGGTACCTAATACCAATATGCTTAGACATGAAATGAAAACTTGGATTCTTACCTAGCTAAGTGAATAACACTCAAAGTGTCACAAATAAAAGCATATTCATCTTGCTCTATACCCAATTCTTCAAAGAATTGCTTCATCCATAAAATTTCCTTACAAGCTTTGGTTGCAGCAATGTATTCAGCTTTTGTATTGGATAAGGCAACACATTTCTATATTTTGGATTGGCATGACATAACTCCCCTTACAAAATTAAGTAAAAATCTTGATGTGGACTTTCTAGAGTCAATGTCCCCAACCATGTCTACATTTGTATAGCATTCCAAAACTGTTTTACCACTAAAAAAATATAAAAATAAATCAAAAGTACCCCTAAGATACTTGAAAATCCACTTAACTTCTTTCGATTACTCTTTGCCTAGATTGGAAAGTAATATACTAAGCACATAAGTTGCATGTGCAATGTCAAACTTAATGCAAATCATATTATACATCAAACTTCTTACAACTGAATAGTATGACACATTCATCATTTCTTCTTTTTCTTTTTCACTTAAAAGACTTCGTTCAAGATTTAACTTGAAGTGACTTTCAAGTGAAGTGTTAATTGACTTGACCTTGTCCATGTTGAACCTTTCCAACACTTTCTCAATGTACCTTTCTTGTGAAAGCCATAACTTTTCAGCTTTCCTATCATGAGAGATTTGCATTACAAATATTTGTTATGCTAAACTCAATTCTTTCATAGAAAACCATTTTCTTAACTCATTATTCAACCTGTTAATCTTTCTTATGTCTTACCCAACAATCAATATATCATCAACATGGAGAAAGAGAATAATAAAATCATCATTAAAAAATTTCTTAATAAATACACAATGATTTGTAGTTTTTTTCTTGTACCCATTGTCCATCATAAAGGACTCAAATTTCTTGTACCATTTATAGGGTACTTGTTTTAACGCGTATAAGATCATTCCTAGCTTAGAAACCATGTGTTTTTCTTCCTTGACTTCAAATCCTTCCGATTGCTCCATGTAGATGTTTTCTTCCAAATCACCATGAAGAAATGCAATTTTGACATCAAACTATTCAGCCTCTAAAATCATACTTGTTGCTAGGTCTGACACTACTCTGATTGATGACATCTTCACAACTAGATAGAAAATTTAATCAAAATCAATGCCCTTTTTCTAACAAAAGCCTTTCACAACTAACCTTGCTTTATACCTTGGCTATGAGCATTTTTTTTCTATTTCCAACCTAAATACACATTTGTTCTTGAATGCCTTTTTACCTTTTGGTAAACCCACCAAGTCAGAATTGTAGTTCTTATGCAATGAATATATTTCTTCTTTCATATCCTTCAACAATTTTTCTTTTTCTTTACTTTCTATAGCTTTCTCATAACATTGTGATTCTCTTGCATCACTGAGCATAGCATATTCGTGAAGAGAGTATTTCTTTGATGGCACTCATTCCCTATTAGACCTTTTCAATTGTGGTTCTTCTTCTTGAGCTTGAGGTTGCTTTTGTGATACTTGAGGAGTTTCTATGGGCTGCTCTCCATTTTTTTCATTATCAACATCAACTAAATTTCCACTTGAAGCATTACCTTCATTAACCATGTTATCTTGTAAATCTTCTTTGTTTTCACCATGAACAATAAAGGAAGGAATTGGATCCAAATCAGTAAAGCTTTTAAACTTTGATTGTAACTTTGTAGTGTTCTCAATGTAAACTATTTGATCTTCAAGAAAGGTCATATATCTACTTCTTATTAGCTTCAAGAAAGATCACATGTTTGTTCTTCTTAGGAATTCTATTATATCATGGAGTACAAGTGCATGAGTTCTGGTGAATAACCCTCTTTCTTTAAAGAATACTCAATTATCTTTGAAAATATTCCTTGACATTATCAAATTTATATTTTAATCCTCTTTTCAAATTGTGTCTCCACCATATCACAAAGTCTTGGGCAGTTGTAAGAAATTCATCCCGACTTCTCATCCAGTAGAGCCAAGTATATCAAGTATAGTCATCAATGAAGAAAATAAAATACTTATAACCAGTAATACAAAGAACAATAAATGTCCCCTAATCATCAATATCTATCAAGTGAAAAGCAATATTACTTTTATTAATTACAAAATATGTGGTTATACATTATTTTGATAAATGACAGACCTTACATTAAGGACTCAAGTTTGACACTAAACAAAACAAAATTGGAAGTAAAATTTTAAAACCAAACTGCATGTCACCAAGAGGCAATGCCACAATTGCAAAAGACTCAATTTCTCATAGAATAAGACCCAATCTAGTATAACATCTCTTGTTATGAAGCCTGATTAAAAAGGATGACTGCATCAACATCACATCCACACTTAATCATTCTCCTTAAACTTATGTCCTAAAAACATAATGGGTAGAAAATAAATGACAAATTCTAGGGAAAGATTGTGAGCAAACTTAACTTTACACTGACTAGTAATTGGTGTCTAAGATCCATCAACAACAATGTTCTTGCCTTTCATGGGGGTTAACTTGTATGAACTAAAATATTAAGGCATACTAGTCATGCGGGAAAATGCCTTAAAATCAATATTCAAGGGAACTGTTAGGAGAGAAGTAAGTAGGTGTGGTACTTGTCTTAATATATGCACTAGAAGAGTCCTTAAAATCAATATTTTCTCTAGATGCAACAAGAGACTCCATAGTTTATCCATTACATCAGAGGAATCCTAGGAAAGAATTGGAGTAGTAGAAGGTTTAACATCATTACCAACCATAGCCAAATGGCACTACCCTTCTTCCTAATCTTAAGCTATCAAAGTTTCAAGCGTGGATTGAGTTTTTAGCATCTTTTCTTAGTACATTTGACTTCTTACAATATTCACAAATTACATCATTAGCCTTCTCATTAACAATGGGCTTACTAGTGCTCTACTTGGGCAACTAAAGACATTAAAGCAAAATGTTCAACTATAGAAGGAAACATTAGGACAGCCCACCTACTCTCCTTATCCTGCACTTGGCAATAGTCAACTACAAGAGATACAATGTTTGCACTCAAGAAATGTTGTCGAGTTAAATCAAATTCAATATTGAGAACTACCAAGAAAATAAAGACCTTGTTCTTCTCAATATTTTTCCTATACTACTCGCCATCTTATGGATCTTTCCACTCTAAGGCCTTTAAATGATCCATTTCTTCTAAGAAAGA